TTTTACAAAGCTAGAAAAAAATAAAATTCATCTATAAGAACAAAGACTCAATAATAAGGGAACTGATGAAAAAGTGAAGGAAGGTGGCCGAGTAGTACCAGATCTGAAACCATACTACAAAGGGATGGTGGGATGGTGGTGGTTGTTCTTTGTGCTCAAAGAAGACTAAAATGATGAGCAGAACTAGGAGAACATTGTACACAGTAACAGCCACATTATGGGATGACTGACTTTGATAGATTTGGCTCTTCACAGCAATGCAAGAATCTAAGACAACTCCAAAAGATTCATGATGGAAATTGCCATCCACACCCAGAGGAAGAAATATGGAGTCTGAATACAGATGGAAGCATACTATTTGCTCTCCTTTTCCTGTTTTGTTTTATTACTTCATTCTCATGGTTCCTCTCATGATTCTAATTGTTCTTTAGATCATGACTAATGGAAAAATATGCTTAACATGAATGTATATGTAGAGCCTATATCTGGTTGTATGCCATCTTGGGGTGGGGGGAAGAAATGGGAAGGGGAGAAAATTTAAAACTCAAAATCTTATGAAGTGAATGTTGAAAACTAAAAATAAGGGCAGCTAGGTGGCACAGTGGATAGAACACTGGCCCTGAAGTCAGGAGGAGCTGAGTTCAAATCCAGCCTCAGACCAAACACTTGACACTTATTAGCTGTGTGACCCTAGGCAAGTCACTTAACCCCAATTGCCTTAAAAAAAAAAAAAAAAAGAAAACTAAAAATAAATAAATTTAAATGAAAAAAAAAAAAAAAAAGAACGACAAAAATGACATCACTATGTCTAGGTACAGTATGCTAACTGTGGCTGATCAGACCAATAGGGGCTCAGAAGGCTTTACCACAAATAGTCCATATGAACATTTGGAGTGGAGATATGTCTAAATTTGCGTATCTCATATGTCTTTTGAGGTACCATAATTCTGCTTTGCTCACAAAGCACAGCACCTTCTTTGATGAGGGCAACCCATGCCAGGAAGTCCTGTGCCAGTGTCTCTCATGTCTCATAACCAATCTGAAAGTTCTTCAGAGAGATCTTGAGAGTGTCCTTAAATCATTTCTTCTAATATCTGTGTATGTGCTTGCCTTGTGTGAGGTCTCCACAAGTTAGTCTTTTAGGCAAACATACATTTGGCATTAGAATAACGTGGCCAGGCCATCAGGAGCTGCACTCTCTGCAGTGGAGTCTGAATGCCTGGCACTTCAGTTCAAGAAAGAGCCTCAGTGTTATCTTGCCAAGTGATCTTCAGTATCCTCCTAAGACAATTCAAATGGAAGCAATTCAGTATCCTCGCATGGTGCTGGTAGACTATCCAGGTTTCACAGGCATGCAACAATGAGGTCAACATAACGGCTCTGTAGACCTTCATTTTGGTAGGTGGCCTAATTCTTCTTCTCTCCCACACTTTCCTTCTGAGCCTCCCAAACATTAAGCCAGCTCTGGCAATTTGTGTGTCAATCTCAACATTTATGTGTACATCCCTGGAAAGTATAGTGCTGAGGTAAGGGAACTTATCCACAGCATTCAAAATTTCTCCATTTGCTATAACTCATGGTTCCACATAGGAGGGTTTGGTGCTGGCTGGTGGAGAACCTCTTTTTTGGTGTTGTCAGGCTAAAATTAGCACAAGCAGCAGAGAATCCACCTATACTCTGTTGCATCTCACCCTCAGAAATTGTTGCACTGAGTGTACAATCATCTGCAAACGAAGAGTCATGAACCAGCTCTTCCTCCACTTTAGTCTTGGTTGGTAGACTTCTTAAGTTAAATAATTGACTACCAGCGCAGTAGTTGACCTTGATGCTGTTTTCATTCTCATTCAAGGTGTCTGACAACATTGCTGAAAACATCATGCTAAAAAGCATAAGAGCAAGCACACAGCCCGGCTTCACTCCATTGGTGACTGGGAAAACACGAAAGCATCATCCATTATCTAGAACCCATGCAAGCATGCCATCGTGGAACTGGTATACAACAGTGATAAACTTCTCTGGACAATCAAATTTTGCCATGATCTTCCAAAGACCTCTGTTCTGCTGTGAAGTGAGCAGAACATTGTACACAGTAATAGCAATATTGTAACAATGAAAGACTTAGCCACTCTTTATCAATACAACGATTCAAGACAATTCCAAAGGACTCATGATGAAACAATGCTGTCCATCTCTGGAGAGAGAACTGATGTAATCTGAGATTAAAACTTTTACTTTTTTTTTAAGAAAATATAAATATTTTATTAATTTAGCACTGCTCCTCCATTTTAGTTTGTTTACATGTTGCAATTGCTATATTGTTACTATTTTTCAAGTTTATACCCTCAAAATGTTCTTGAAGACTTTAACAATAAAATGAGTACTTTTAAAAAGTTACTATCCTGCTAAAGCAGTGTTTGTTAGGTCTGTGAATAAAATGATTTAAAAAAATTTTTTTATAACTATTTCAATATAATTGGCTTCCTTTGCAACCACATATATTTAAAAACATTCTGAGAAAGAGTCCTTTTAGGGGTCCATGACACAAAAAAGTTTAAGAACACCTGCTCAACAATTTGGAATTATGCCCAAAGGGCAACCAAACTGTGCATACCTTTTGATCCAGCAATACCACTACTAGGTCTAGATCACAAAGAGATCATAAAAATGGGAAAAGGACCCACATGTAGAAAAATGTTTATAGCACCTCTTTTTGTGGTGGCAAAGAACTGGAAATTGAGAGGATGCCCATCAACTGGGGAATGGCTGAACAAGTTGTGGCATATGAATGTAATGGAATATTATTATACTATAAGAAATGACAAGCAGGCAGACTTCAGAAAAAACTGGAAAGACTTGAATGAACTGGTGCTGAATGAAGTGAGCAGAACCAGGAGAACATTGTACACAGTAAGAGAAACACTGTGCTATGATCAACTATCATAGACGTAGCTCTTCTCAGTAATACAACGATCTAAGACAATTCCAAAATATTCATGATGGATAATGCTACCCACATCCAGAAAAAGAACTATTGAGTCTGAATGAAAATCGAAGCATGTTATCTTCTCTTTTGTTTTTTCTTTCTAGTGTTTTTCCCCTTTGGTTCTGATTCTTCTTTCATAACATGACTAAGGTGGAAATATGTTTAATATGATTGTACATGTATTGCCTCTATCGGACTGCATGCTGTCTTGTGGGGGAGGAAGGAGAGGGAAATTTAGAACTCAAAATCTTACAAAAGTGAATGTTGAAAACTCAAAATTAATTAATTAAAAAAAAATACACCTGCTCAAAAGCAATACTTAGGAACTAATTACTTTCTATGTGACAGGTTTTAGACAATGACTCTTTTAAATGCACTATTAGTCGGACCCACTAACAGTTCCCTAAGCAATCTACAAAAATAAGCTGAGTTGTATCTTTTCTCACAATATATCAACCAGAAATCTTAATTTATTCCTGCCAAAGAACCTTTAAGAAAATGCTCCCCAGGGGCAGCTAGGTGGCGCAGTGGATAAAGCACCGGCCCTTAAGTCAGGACGACCTGAGTTCAAATCCGGCCTCAGACCAAACACTTGTCACTTACTGTGTGACCCTGGGCAAGTCACTTAACCCTAACTGCCTTGGAAAAAAAAATGCTCCCCAAATCCGGCCTCAGACCAAACACTTGACATTTACTAGCTATGTGACCCTGGGCAAGTCACATAACCCTAATTGAAAAAAAAAAAGAAAATGCTCCCTACCAATATTTCCCATAATGTTTATTACAGAGCACATTCATTTCCTCTCCAACTTTTCCAGCACTTCAAACATCCAACTCAACATACAAATCAGACTTCAGACCCATTAAGTGCTCTAGTTTTGGTATTTATCACTTAAAAAGAATCTCAGAGTTTGAATAAACAATCTGAGTTTCAAATTTCCTTTATATATCTATATTTTGTTCTTTCTTCCAATAGATTTATGCAGTTGGCACCACAATATTACTTTAGTAATCTGGCTCCTAGTGAAATAAAGAATATTCTGCAGCAAGTAATCAATCACTTATTACCCATTCAACAATGAAAAAAGAATGGAAAACAAAGATAAATATGTAAAATACCTTGAAGCTTCTGCTGACTAAGATGTCTTATTCAAGGGATACCACCTTAATTCTGTTCTTTTTTTTTCCCACTTTGTTTTTCTTGCTTTCCCCAACCTCTAACATGGCTCACATGTTTTGCATGATTTCATATGTATTATAATATTTCTTACCTTCTCAATTGGTAGAGGAGGGGGTAAGAGGAAGGAGAAAAAATATGTATTTTTTAAAAACCCTGGTTAAAAATATGGAGAACTGGGAAAAGGAAAAAAAAGCACAACAAAAGCCCTTTATAACTTGCCCACCCCCAATCTCCTTAAAATTTCATACTCCACACATAACCTAGGATTCAGTGGCCCTGGCCTCTTGACTGTTCCTCAAACAAGACCCTCCATCTCCTCACTCTGGGCATTTTCCCTATCTGTCCCCCATGTCTGGAATATTCTCCTTCTTCATTTCTACCTCCTGACTTTCCTGGCTTCCTTCAAGTCCCAGCTAAAATCTCACCTTCTACAAGAAGCCTTTCCTGATCATCCTTAATACTAACGCCTTCCCTCTATTGATTATCTCCAATTTAACCCACATATGGCTTGTTTACACATAGTTGTTTCCACGTTGTCTCTCCCAGTAGACTGAGATCCTTGGAAGCAAAGACTATCAAAGACTATCTCTTGACTTTATTTGAACCCCCAGCACTTTGCACAGTGCCTGTCATTCGGTAAGTACTTGATGTTTATTGACTGACAATTTGCTAAATGACTAAAATGTTCTGTACTGAGTTACAGTGAATTAGGAACAGAGCTGGCACTAGAAACCAAGGACCACTCGGGAGTCCTAAACTATATGAATACCTCTTTCCAAAGTTCCTTCCCACAAGCTAGGGAAACAAAAAGATAAACAGAACTCAACAGTGACTTACCTGAATTGGCTGCTGCCGCCAGTGCAGTGGCCATTCGGGGATTAGGTACGTGGGCAATTCTCTTCTTCTCCTCAGGCAGAGACACAGAATGCTTCTGGGCTGCCAGTCTCACTGCTAGAATGTCTGAGGCCTGTCTCTGGGCAAGCTGGGTTCGTCGGTAGCAGGCCTCCTGAGCCGTGGGTGGGCGATAGGGCCGAATGACTGGCTTGCTTGGGACTTCGACCTGTTGGGTCAGACAACATTCGGTGGAGAATCCCACTGTCCCAGAGAACGACAGTCTCTGGTCCAGCTGTACCGAACCCATGACAGAGAAACTATAATAGTCTAGAAGGCAGGTGATCGTATAAGGGTAGCTAAAAGCATGGGGGAGGTAGTGGAAGTACCCCATTCCAAGGGAATGAGAAATTGGGGCCTACTAAACAAGAACAAGCTAGAGTAGGTTCAAGCTTGTGAAGAAAAAAAGAAAAAGCAACTATATTTCAAGTTACTTTAAATTTTTTCTTCTTGATTCAAGTTAAAAAAAAAAAAAGGTTGGCTTTGGGCAAATTTTAGGTGGCTCAGATAAAAAAGTTAAAAACAGAACAGAGACAAAGTGCCAAGCACCAGTTCAAGTCCCAGGAGAAAAGAAAGTCCAACTACAAGGTAGCTTATTTATAGGCAAGGCCCAAGAAGCAGATTCTCACCTTTAAAATAGAGGCTTGCCTTAACAAACCTACTTTAGAGCTAGTAATAATACTTTAGGCTTGAAGAACTTTAAATACATTATCTCCATTTGATCCTACCAAGAATCCAGAGGGAGGTGATATTTACCCTTAAGCTATTGTTCTTCCTTCATGCTTGAAGAGAACCAATGATGAGACTTGCCCATGAATTAGATCTGAATGAGGCCGAGCTTCACAAAGTCATTAACCTTGTTCTCTCTTCAGGTTTCAAGACAAAGGTCAAGACAACTGGCTCAGGATGGACTGGGTGACCTTGATCTTTCTAAATTAAAGTCTTTCCCAGGTCTCCATCTGAAGCCATGCCCATTCGATGACTAAAGGCTAAATAAGAATTAAGACCAAAAAATGGCCCAATCTGCCATCCCAAAGATAATCAATCTTGGAAGGGAAGACCCTCAGAGTTTTTGGCCAGAACAGAAAACAATTGCTATTTACACTCATTCTAAGCCATCAAAACCCAAACAATGAGCCGCAGAAGCTTGAACTGAGCCTATTATCAGCCACTCCCGATGAAAGTAGAAGCCTTTAAATATATTATCTCCATCTGATCATATCAAGAATCCTAAGTTAGGGGACATTTACCCTTAGGCTGTAGAGCTGGAAAGGACCAACTTCATCCTTTTACAGATGAGGAAACTGAGGCCCAGAAATGGAAAGTGATTTGCTAAAGATCATATAGTAGTAACAGGTTCAGGATTTGAATCCAAGTCCTTTGACTCCAAATCCAGCCCTCTCTTCTTATTCCCACAGCTAAGGAAACTTAAGCAGAGAGAAGTCATTTGCCCTACTTTAAATAGCTAGTAAGGGATCCGAGTGGAGATTTTTCTTAGGCCACATGCAAAATTCTTTCTCTTTCATCATGGTGTCATTCATGACTATAAGTCCTTGAGGGCAGGAAATGTTGCTTAATGGTAGGCACTTAGTAAATACTTGCTAGCTTGAGTGATTAAGTGATTGATCAAATTTGGGAGTGATGAGCTTTGACCTAAGGAAAATACAGCACTCTTGAAATACACTCTCCTCCTAATTGAAGTAATGATAATGGCTCAGAAGTAGAGAGGAAAAAGCCCTAGGTTTAAAGCCAAACGACCTGGCTTTAAATCCCAAGCTCTGCTACCTGACACCTTACATGACCTTTAGCAAGCCCTGGGATGTCTCAGAACTTCAGTTTCCTTTTATTTAGGGCTTAACCCAGTGCCTGGCACACAGTAGCACTTAATACATGCTTATTGATTAATTTGTAAAAATGAGTGAAACTAGCTGTGTAAGCCCCCTTCTCTTTACAGACACAGGCTGAACTGAGAAGTCTTCCACCTTGAGATTCTGAAGCATAAGCAGCACAATCCTTTACCAATGAAAAAAAAGAACAAATAATTTAACTGGCATGCCCAGTAATAGCCTTGTGCTGCCTTCTCCCTACGAAACTGACTGTTATGCTGTTTAGAGTAGTCTTTCTAGAGGAACATCTTTCTACATCCCTAAGTTGATATGTACTTACTTCCCTTCCTTCCCCTGACCCCCAGAGCTGACATGCCTAATTTGGGGCAAAGGATCCTTACATTTCCTTGCTTGGAAAGATGGGAAATCCTCCTCTTCTGGCCTGGAAACAGTGTAGTCAAACTGTCTTCTGACTTTCCCTCAATCTTCTCTTCCTTGGATGGCTGGAACACAAAAAGAGTCACATTTCCTAGGAGACCCAATCTCAGTATCACAGGATAGGCTTGGAAAAGACCTTAGAACAGAGTATATCAAGAGCTAGAAAGGGCCACATAACAAAGAACACAGACTGTCAGCACTGGAAGCGACTTTAAAAAACAGAAGGATGGAGCCAGGAGGGCCCTCAGAATATAGAAAGCCAGAAATGGAATGGGTCTTAAAGAGAGATCACTGAATCTAACACCCTCATTTTTATAGCAGAGGAAGAGGAAATTGAGAGTCTAAGAGATGGAAGTCATTGGAGAACTGCAATTAGAACTCAGGCCTTCTGAGACCCAGCCCAGTATTTTTATTACCATACAAGGTACATTACCACCCCTTTCTTTTGTGGGATCCTAAAATGAAACTGAGGGAGAAGGGTGCATCTGTTTGCTATCCAATGCTACTGCATATCCTTTTCCCCCCTCTTTCTTTCCAAATCCCTCTTTCAAAAAATGCTCTAGGGTACATTTAAAAAATGAAAAACACATAATAAGCAGAAAATAAAACCACTAAATTGTGTGCCAGGCTAAAGCTGAGGATACAAATGCAAAAGGAGCCAGTCCTTGACCTCAAGGAGCACACATTTTAATAGGTGGAAACAACAAATATAGGGGAATCCCAGCTAAGGAACAGAGATATGTATATAGGGCAGTGAACCAATATGCCTTAGAATGGGGTGAGTTTTGTGTGACTTGAAGACATCTTGAAGGCAAAGGCTAAAGGGACAATTGTTATTAGGTAGACCTCAAAAGGGGAATCCTGTTCCCACCTGTAATGAACTCAAGGAGGCTTTTGAAGTGTGTTCTAGGTCTGATGACTGTGATTCTGTGACTGAAGACACACCACTGCCTGAGGCAATTCATTCTACTTTTAGATAACTCTTAAATAGTATTAGGAAGTGTTCCCCATTCCTTAAATGGACAGGGAATCTACCTCTCTCCCACCTGCGTCCAGTGCTAATCCCTCTTATAGAATCAATGGTCAGAGAAACCACTTCAGGATTCCATGGGAGAAAACAGAATAGGAGGAGCAAGAGTAAGACACAAGCTAGAGAGAAAGCACTCAAGATTAGAGATCAACTGAGGGCTCAAGTGACTTCAGCACAAATTTATTAAGTGCCTGTTGTGAGTCTGACACTCAGATAAGCACTGAGGATCCAAAAAAGGAAAATATACAAACAAAAAGATGGTCCCTGCCCTCAAGGAGTTCACATTCTAGCACAAGAGACAATATGCAAACCATTATGTACAATCAAGTCACATACATGATAAACTGAAGATCACCTCAGAGGGAAGCCTTTAGCTGAGCCTTCAGGAAAGCCAGGAGGCAGAGAAGAGGAAAGGAGTTCCAGACATGAGGACAGCCTATGCAAATGCAGAGTCAGACTGGAGTATCTTTTCCCAGGAGCAGCCAGGAGGGCCAGTGGTGCTGGGTCACAGAGTATATGGAGGGGAATAAGACTGGAAAGGGAAGAAGGGGCCAGGTAACAAAAGGCTTTAAAAATCAAAGAGAGCCTATGATTCTGGAAGGCAACAAGTAGCCATTAGAATTTATAGAGTAGGGGAGAGTAACATGGTTGGACTTGAACTTTGGTGGTTGAATAGACAATACACTGGAGTGGGGAGAGACTTGCGGCAGGAAGGCCCACCAGCAGGCTATTGTAGTAATCCAGGTGGAAGATGATTAGGGTTTCACCAGGGTGGTAGCAGTGTCAGAGGATCAAAGGGGGCACTCTCCAGAGATGTTATAAAGGTGAAATTGACTGGTCTAGGCAGAAGATGGAATATGGAGATTAAAAGAATAGTGAAGCACCAAGGATGACACCTAGGTTTTGAGCCTGAGGGGCTGGGAGGATGACAGTGCCCTCAAAAGTAATAGGGAAGGAAAAAACAAAGTAATAGGGAAGGTAGTAGGGAGGGAGGGTCTGAGGGGAAAGATAATGAATTCATTTTTGGACCTGTGGAGCTTTAGATGTCTATCAGATCAAGATGTCTAATATGCAGGCAGAGACATGAAACCAAAAGACCAGAGAAAGAATTTGTTGTGCAGTTGTGTCCAAATCTTCATGACCCCATTTGGGGTTTTCTTGGCAAAGATACTGAAGTAGTTTGCCATTTCCTTCTCCAGCTCATTGTACAGATGAGGACCTGAGGCAAACTGGTTAAATGAGAAGTGTCTGGGGCCAGATTTGAACTCAGGAAGATGAATCCTCCTGATTCCAGGCTCCTGTCCTATCCACTGTACTACCTAGCTGCCCTAGAGAAAGAATAGGGCTGGAAAAAAAGAACTGAGAATCATTTACATAGACATAAGTGATTCCACAGAAGCTGATGGGATCTCCAAGGTGGAAATAATTCTATAGGAGAAGAGAAGAGGGCCCAGGATAAAATAACACAGAGGAATAAGAGAAGAGGATATGCCTGAGCTAGGGAAAATTTTAGAGGAGGCAAGGAGAAATGTGAAAGAGGAGGAGAAGGAAGACTGGGCAGAAAGACTTGAACAACCCTGGCTTACTTGGTATTGCTCCCAGAAGACACTACTGGCTTTCTCCACCCCCCTACTGGCTTTCTTCAAGTCTTAGCTCAAAACCCACTTTTCACAGGGAGTTTTTTCCTGGTCTCCCAATTGAGATACTCATGCCTTTCTAACAGTCAACACAAGCATTTATTAATTGACTTATCAATTAATGCCAAGTGCCAAGAACAGTGCTGGGCCACAAAGAAGAGCAAAAAATGCTGCCTCTGCCCTCAAAGGAAGCACACATTATAATGGGGGAGGCAACATGTAAATAACTAGCCACAAACAAGGTGTGTGTATGTGTATATATACGCATATACATAGAGAGAGAGAGCAGGGAGGGTAATCTCATTGACTCTGGGTAAGGACATTATTATTTATAAATAAGAGAAATACAGAACAGAAGGGAAGTAATCCCATATGCACATCATTGTTTTCATATTGTCTTCCCCCATTGGAAAGTGAGCTCCTTAGGTCAGGAACAGTGTTTTTGCCTTTCTGTGTATCCTGAGTCACTCAAACATGGCCTAGCACTTAATAAATCTTTTTGATTGAATAACTGAACAGATTAGACAAAAATAAATAAGGCTGTGTAACCAAAGAAGTTAAGCAGAAGGGAAAGAACTCGAGTTCTGAAGGAGAAGAATAAGTCAGCTACCTTTCAAGGTGTTAACCAGGAGGTGGTACAAGAGATAAGATGCTAAAATATGAAAGGAGCTAAACAGGTGGGAAGGCTCTAGAAAGAAGATTCTAACCAGACCAAAGTTCTCCAGGGGAATTAGCTAGAGGAAATGCTAGCAAAAAAAATTAAGAGTTAAGGATCCCGCTTTTTAGTCCTATGCAGGCAGCTGGGGGCACAGAGGAATCAGGAAGACCTGAGTTCAAATGTGGCTTCAGACACTGACTATGTGAGTCTGGGCAAGTTTCTTCACCTCTCCCTGCCCTTGTTTCCTCAACTGTAAAATAGGGACCATAACAGGACCTACCTCACAAGGTTGTTGTGAGGATCAAATTCAATCACATTTGTAAAGCACCTGGTACAGAGCCTGGCACACTGCTTATTCTCTTCCCTCCCTTTCCTTTCCCTGCCAGCTTCTTTGGGAGAAAGTTGTAGAAGAAGGAGAAGGAACAAGCTGCATAAGAAAGAAACTGTGAAAGAGATCTGAAGGAGTTTGTAGGGGAAAAAAGCCAGAGAGAATTTGGGGAGGAGAAATTTGGGAGAATGTAAGGAGAAGATGAAGGACACTAATCTTAGCCGAAATTTCAGTCTGAAGGAAGAAAATTATTGGAAAATATTGCTAGAAGAACTGAAGAAAAAAGAAAAGGAAAAGCAAGATAAAGCAAGTAAGAAAAAGTAAATAAAACAAATAAGTTGGAGGTAACAAATTATCCTTGAAAACAGAAAAAAATGGGGCAGCTAGGTGGCACAGTGGATACAGCTCCAGCCTTGGAATCAGGAGGACCTGAGTTCAAATCCGGCCTCAGACATTGGACACTTACTAGCTGTGTGACCCTGGGCAAGTCACTTAACCCCGACTGCTTTGCCCCTCAAAAAAAAATTAAAAAAAAAAAGAAAAAAAAAATAGAAAAAAATACAATTAAAAAAAAATTAATTCTGATCAACACAATAATTAAGCATGATTCCAGAGAACCAATGAAATATGCTGTACCCATTCTTCCTGACAAGGTACAAAATAAGACATTTTTTGGACATAGCCAATGCAGGAACTGATTTTGCTTGACTCTCCATATTTGTTACAAGATTTGTGTTTGATTTTCTGTCTTTTTAATGGGGAGAGATGAAATACCTTTGTTAACTGAACATTTCAAGCTAAATTAAAAGAAAAAAACATGGAATGTCAGAGCTGAGAGGGCCTTTCTTTTATTATTTTATATACATATTATATACGTATATCTCAGATATAATATAATGGGCAGCTAGGTGGCACAGTAGGTAACAGTGCTGAGCCTAGAGTCAGGACGACTTATCTTTCTGAATTTAAATCTGGACTCAGACAGACATTTATTAGCTATGTGCTCCTGGGCAAGTCACTTAATCCTGTTTACCTCAGTCTCCTTATCTGTAAAATGAATTGAGGAAAGAAATGGCAAACCCATCCAGTATCTCTGCCAAGAAAAGTCCAAATGCGATCACGAAGAATTAAACAGGAGTGAAAACTAAAACAACAAAAATAATGTAATTTTTGTATCTCTATGTAGCTATAAACATTAGGGTTTACAGTTATATGGCTGTAAACAAAATAGCATTTGTATATGCTATTATGATATATAATTCTAAGATATATATAATATTATAAATGCTATGGGGAAGGGTGGAGGGGCAGAGAGGTAGAACATAATTCACAGTGGATAAAGAGGTGTTGTTGAAGCCAAGAAGCCCTGTCGTTTCCAATCCTGTCTGTCTCTCACACTGTCTATGGAACCT